ACACACACACACACACACATTGTGATTGTTGTGATTATTATTATTTTATATATATATATAAAATAATAATAATCACAATGTCTCCAAAACAAAGTCAAGAAAACACTGAAGAGGTTTTAAATGTTTGTGGTGAGAAATAAACCGGAAACCACTTCCCCTGTGAGAAAAAGCTCCAGACTAAATACATAAATAAATATATACATACATAAATATATACATAAAATCCTCAATATTGTATTTTCTCTCCTCGTGTTTCTGGTTTGTTGTTAAACTGGTTTTAAAGTCAGATGATTGAAGCTCAGCAGGTCAGATTCTGTCTTTATTGATTCTTTATTAGTAATAATGATCTGATGTATATAATGAATACATGTATTATGATACACAGTCTCTCACAAACAGGCTCCACGTCGTTCACTTTCTGTTCCTCAAACAAACGTCTGCGAGTGAAAAACTCATCAAACTTTAAAATCGCGTTTAATAAAACATCACAGAAGATGTTTTAATGTTGTTCCATCTCCACAGACATTACATCATCCCAGTTATGATGTTTAAATGATGTTGATCGCTTCAAAACACATCACTCGTTAAATATACAAATATCTATTATATTAATATGAATAATACTAAGATACTTATAACTGCTCTCATGTCACAGCAGCACTGAGAACTCTATTTCCTGTTTGGATTTTCAGTGTAAAAGTCTTTTTCAGGGCTTTTCCAGATTAAAAGCACAAGAAAGTCTTGGATGATTATTTTCTTTCCGACTTGGACTGAGACTTGAACCAGGATCAGGCTCCCGGTCCGGCGGTCCTCAGTTGTAGCTGTACCCGGGCAGAGGGAGCTTCTGACCCTCCTTGGCCTCGAAGAAGGTGTAGGACAGCGTGATGGTGTCCACGCGGGCCATCCGGGGGTCCTCGGCGAACTCCGGGTCGATGTAGAAGAACACGGGCATGTCCACCTCCTCGTGGGGGTTCAGACGCTGCTCCTCGAAGCAGAAACACTGCGGAGAGACCAGCACAGAACCACCAGCTCATCATGCAGGTCTGCATTAGAGGGTCAAGACCTGAACCTTAGAGCACTAGACTACCTGGATCTTGTTGAAGTACTGTCCCGCGTCGAAGGGCACCACGTTGTAGGTGGAGATCCCTATGATTGGCGTGTTCGTGGGGTTCTTCGCTCTGTAGAACGCCAACGCCGTCTCACCCGGAACCACCTGCACAACGAACACAAGAGGGCTGATCAGGACCAGACCCACGAGTCAGGACCAGACCCGCGAGTCAGGACCAGGACCAGAACAGACGTGGCAGAATCAGCAGTTTTAGGTGTAAATTGAACATATTTATGTGACTTTGACCAGAAACAACTCCAGAAAGTCACAATCAGAAGCTCAGCGGCTTCATCTCAACAGGAACATAAAGATGGACCTAAAGGGTGCAGAGGAACCAGGTCTTACGAAGATCTCGCTCTGCTGCGGTCTGAAGTTCCACTGCATGCTGGCATGCGTGTCTGCGTTGAAGGAGATCTTGAGGACGCGTTCCTTCACCGGCGTCATCGTCTCCACCTGCTCCGCGTCGTGTCCAGCCACCGCCGTGCCGCCGAGCCCCGACGCCTGGCAGTAGAGCCGGTAGAGCGGCACCGCGGCGTACGACAGGCCGATCATGCCGACGCCGGCGGCGGCGATGTACGTCAGCCCCGTCTTGTTCCGGCTCTTCCACTCCTCCTCCTGGCTCTTGGACTTCCTGCCTCGGCTCTTGATGCCTCGGCTCTGCGCGTGGAGGTGCGCCGGGAGCCGCCGGAGCAGGAAGTGCTCGGCCCGAGAGAGCGGCGGCAGCATCGGGGCGTCGCAGCGGAGCGTCCGGACACACCGGGTCAGAAACACGGAGGCCCGAGGGCGGCAGAGGGACGGACGCAGCAGGACGGGGAGCAGCATGGCGGGAACTTGCAGACGGTCCGCACCTGAGGCCGAGTCAGCAGGACCTGCAGACGGTCCGCACCTGAGGCCGAGTCAGCAGGACCTGCAGACGGTCCGCACCTGAGGCCGAGTCAGCAGGAAGCTCACCTGGAGGAGGAATCTGTAATATTAGGTTTTCATTACAGTCATGACTGTTCGCTGTTACGTGGGGCTGCATATTATTATTATCATAACTTTTAATCTTCATCGTTAATAAACTTCACATTGGAGAACCTGAACCATGAAATGATTGTTAAGAGCTGTTGCTGATTAATCTTCAGCCTCATAGATTGATATCTCAGCTTTCAACACTATGATTATTAAATAATCAAACTAATACGTGAAGTTCTCTTACCTATTTATAAAGTCTATATTATTCGTCATGATTTAATCTGAGAGATTGAGAGATAAACATGAATGACGCTGCAGAGTTTATGAATAACGCTTAAACACATATTGGTGTCACGTGACGGTAGATTACATGTTTTCAGTTCAAACATCTCCAGTTCTGCTGTACTGCGCATGTCCGCTGGTTCAGACACAGAGACGCGTTAGTTGGTGATAAACTAATAAGTTATTAGTGATAACTTGAGTCATTTAGATGTTTTACCTTCGTAGAGTCGTCTGTCATTCACCGCTCAGACACACGTTACCCAACACGACGGAGAGAGACACACGTAACACTGGTGCAACACAGAAATAGGTCCCCTTTCAGACGCACGCTTAAAGGTTCCGCACTCACACACACACACACACACACACGTTCAACGTTTATGTTGCAAATCATTTTAGATTTAGTTAAAGTTTCATTAAAACTGTAGCTGGTTTAAAGTCACGTGTGTGTGTGTGTGTGTGTGTGTGTGTG